TGCTAAAAGCACCATACCTGTTTTTGGCTCTGATCTTTAAACACTAAATATTAAAATATATTTTTAAACTTTTTTAAAGTGACCACATTCTACAGGTATTTTAATAAGGAAAACTTCTTAGGATATAAAAATGGAAATATGATCACTAAAGCAAAATATAACAAATGTGAACAGAACATCTGGCCAAAGAAACTTATGAAAGGGATTTTATCTAAGGTATATTGAAGGAAAAGACAAAGGAAGAAAGAACCGATAAACTAAGACTTAACAGACATATCAGTCAAATACCATAGATTTTAAATTCTGATTTGTAAAACCAACTTCAAACAGAACTTATAAGACAATAAGGGACATATGAACACTCACTCACTGGACATTTGATATTAATAAATTATATATTTTTATATGTAAGAACAGCACTGAAGTGAAGCGAAAGTCGCTCAGGGTGTCTGACTCTTTGTGAACCCATGGACTGTAACCCACCAGGCTCCTCTGTCCATGGAATTCTCCAGGCCAGAATACTGGAATAGGTAGCCATTCCCTTCTACAGGGAATCTTCCCAACCCAGGGATTGAACCCAGGTCTCCCGCAGTGCAGGTGGATTCTTTACCATCTGAGCCACTAGGGAAGTCCAAGAATACTGGGGTGGGTGACCTATCTCTTCTCCAGCGGATCTTCCAACCCAGGAACCGAACTGGGGTCTCCTACATTGCAGGTGGATTCTTTACCAGCTGAGCTACCAGAAGTCCAAGAATGGCACTGTATTATAGTAAAAATGGGGACTCTTTTCTTTTAGACCCAATTGAAGTAGTTACTAATATGCAAGAAATCATACTGTAACTGGTATCTGCATTAAAACAATTCAATGGTGACAGATATAACAGATAAAACAAAATAGGCCACATGTTAATAAACATTAAAGGTGGGTGACGGAGACATGAGGTCCACTGAACTCTACTTTTACATACATTTTCCACAATAAAAAATTTAAAGGTCTATAGGTAACTAAACTAACAGTATATTTATAGTGGCTGTTAGACATTAACTTGAAATTGAACACAGGGAATCATCAACTTGAGTTCCATGAGATGGAAAGGGAGAAACTATTTACTATCAATTAATTAGCAAGAAAATAGAAAATCCTTAGAATCCTGATATTTGTGTAAGTTTTTAAACTGATGAGAGTTACGGTGAAAAACCCACAACTCCACTACATTCCATATAACCCCTTCCTGTAAGGTAGAATTCTCAGCAAAATGGAATAGGAATCTATGTTTTTAAAGTTAAAAAAAAAAGACAGAAAAGCAAAAGAAGTCATCACTGTAACCTGGTAAGTAATGTCTTTTCAGAAGGGAAAAGCCAATAAAAATTCAAGATATTTAACATCTTTAATGGCATAGAAAAAATGTTACTAGTGGAAGATTTTCTTTACCAAGGAATTACTTTACAAACATATGCTGTGACATATTATCCAGAAGTAAGACAGAAACAGTGACTAGTAGGGCTTAAAACATTTCTTGAACAAGTAATTACTTTGCTAATACAAAGACATTTATCTTCAGAGTTAAATGAGTTTCCTCTATGCCTAAGAGGAAAATGGTTGTTAACAGCTTTGGTAGAAAATATCATTGAAAATTAAAAATTCTAACAGTGAGGTAAACATAAAATAGAAGAGCATTAAAACAAAAAAAAGCAAACTATATTAAGATACTAGGAGGAAAAAAATCACTGTATAGTAGAAAATACTTGGGTAACTGATGCTTCTAAGCTCTTCTACTACTCTGGAAAGTAGAAAACTCCCTGGGCCTTTTATACTATTCCACCTGTAGAAGAGGTCCCACTTTCTGAGCCTACATATTTCCTTTCATCATTGGTAAAAAATTCATGACTTTCAGAACACCTGGTTGACTGGAAAAAAGATGACATTTGCAACTAGACATGAATAATGTGATAAAGGTTTAGCCACTGAAATACTGGTGAAGGGTGTTGTGTTCTAGTGTCCAAATAAGTCTCCTTAAAAGACACTGTACATACTTTTTATCTTTTTGTCTCCATTCTGGACATTCTGCTGCTAGGGATGGCTGGAACTGTAACAGCCATTTTGGGGAAAAAAAGCTTTATTTTGCTCAGGCAATCACTAATTTGGGGTTTTCCTAAAACTGAAGAAAGAATTTAATCCTAGATGGTACAAAACCACATTGTTATATATGCTATACTACCTCAAGATTACTCAACAATAAATAAGTAAATGAAAATAAAATGCTAGAAAGAAAAGAACCATAGAAGAAAAGATCACATATGGTATTCCTACCATTTTGCTACCAATAATAGAGAAAGAAGGGGCTTAATGTCCTTCCCCACAACCCTGCCCCAAACAGGGTAGTTAGCAGGTTTAGTAGTGGTAGACTAAATCCATACATTAATTATTCCTTTGTTCTTTCATTCAGCAAACATGTATTAAACATATTATGTGCCATGTACTAAGGTGCCTGAATAAGATAGAAAAGATTCCACTTTAATAACATTTACATTCTAGTGGAAAGGTAAAAAGTACTAGATATTTAATAAGGGAAAATATACAAAGAGCTTAGTTATTCTCCACTGATGACACAGTCTCATCATCAAAAATACAAATCAACTATAATTAAGTTCTTATTTAAAATGAAGGTGCTGAATCAGAACCAAAACTATTTAACATTCATTCCAATGAGGTCAAATGTTTCTATGAACCTTTATTCATGAAGAGAAAGTGTGTTTTATCTTTTAATTCCATAATGGAAAAAACTCTTGACATCTCATAACATCTTGAAACTACTTTTACAGAACACAAAGGAACACAGAAATGCCTATGACAAAAACAGAAAACAAGTTCTGGTAAGGAATTTACTCAAGGAACTTAAAATCTAATTGAACCTTCAGGAACAGAGATAATTTCGTCATGTAAAGAAACTGCTAATCAAGTCTACAAAGGGGCTCCAAATTTGTGGTGTCTAAGTAAGACAAAAAGTCAGATTATGAAAAGGCACAAGCAACTTCTAAGGCCACCAAGGCTTCAACAGGAACACATCTGTACTCTCAATCAATGGAGAGAAATTAGCACTGGGGGAAAATAAATGATTGTGGACGTGGAGGTTAACATAGTACCTGCTAAGTGATCTAGGCATGACAGGCAGTAGTTCAGAGCCAGACTGCAAAGATATAACACAAAGAAAGGGAGGAAACTGGAGAAGAGGCCTAAAGTCAAAAGGACAAGCCACCTGAAGGCAGAACAAGCCGTGCACCATTGATGTTTTCTTTATAGCCTGATGAATACTGATTAATTGCTTAGAAAACAATGGTCTTAGTGATTCCCTCAACAGATCTCTACAGATCTAAAGAATTACTATACACCTAACTTTTCAGAGACAGGTGGTTTAGGTACTTCAAATATGAATCACTTGAACAAGACATCTCACTTAGTAATTTATGCAATGGAAGGTCACAGTGAAATGTATTGTAATATAACATAACTATAGCAAAACTGTACACAGGCAAACCAAGATATAGAGCCTTGACAATAGTCAACACATATGCCACAATATGGCATAATTTAGGAAGAGGAAAATGTAAAACATAAATATTGCATATTTATATGTAATAGAACATATTTATTACATTGTATATTATATGTAATATTACATATTTATAATAAAGTATGATTATTTCAAGACAAACTAAGACAATATAATGCTTTTAACATGCACAACATATCAAAGGGTATTAATATTACAGGACACATATATCTGATCCCCAAATGATTAAAAATGGTTATTACATACATTGAGATTTTTATTATGTTTCAATATGCCTTTTACACTTGAGTGGTGACTAAACCAATAACCGGCATAATCTGCTGAGTAGTTCTGATAAAACTGAGTTGACATTTGAATTTAAAAGTCTACCTTTTCATATAAAAGTATACAAGTCACAAAAAGTGGTGGTATCACCTAGTGTCATTGTTCAATCTCAATAAAGACCGAAAAACACCAATTCTCTCTGAAAATGGACCTTAAAGGACAGAGATTTAGTTTATTAAATTAATAGAAAATAAAGCATAGATGGCATAGGTTCTTAAATTTGGGGTCCAAGATCTATTTCAAGGAATCCAAGAAAAAACTGAAATTTTATATAAAATTTTGAAGTGTTGACTATTATAAGACAAGTATATTTAAAGAGGAATCAATACACCTAGAAGTGAGATGATCTTTTCCTTAGCTCAACAATTTTACAAGACCTTAAGCATTCAACTGCAAAAACCTGGATAACGTTACTGCATTTCCACGGAATTAAACTGGATAGACCTCTTCCCAAAGCAGTTAAAAACAAAAACAATCAAAGGTGACACCAAAACCCACCAACTCAAGAGACGAAAAGCTTTTAGAAAACTATGTGGGATCTTTTAGCAGTCAAGACCAGAAGAAAATCTTGAGAGATTCAGCATAAAAGTAAAGAGAATGAAACATGTTTCTCCAGATATCCCCTTTATAAACCTCTCCCTCGTTTCAAGACCTAGTATCAAATTAAGTATAAGATCTCAGGTATTCCCTCCCACAATTTCAATGGTCAATTCCTAATACCACTACCCCACAGAACGGGAAAAAAAGGATTTCTCCCAATTCCAAGAAAGTGGGCAAAGCTAAGGTGTGCAAAAACAAAAGACTCTCTCCATCTGTCAAAATGAGGAGGGGACCTGTCACCCTGGTTTGAAGGAGTCGGGGGTGGGGGAGGGGGTGCTTGGCGAAGGAGGCGGGGACCTAAATCGTAACTGCTGCACGTGATGGCCTCGGCTCTGAAGAAATGTAACCGTGCCAGACGGGTGTGGATATGAAAAAGCAACTGAATGGCATAGGTGGTGGCAAAGGCAAGACCTGAGCCTCCGGGTGAGGAGCTACGTGGCACTAAACAGAACTTCGTCTCCCCCACCCCCTGCTTCCGCCCCAACCCTTTTCCCCTTTCGTTACCAGTTGCTCCAGATGCCGTAGAGTAGTTCAACAAAAGCGAAAGAGAGGTTCAGGCACAGGAAGAAAAACAGGTTCCGAGACGTCTTGTCCGACAGGATAGACCTAGACATGATACAAGTGGGGAAGAGCGGGGAAAGTCAAAGGAGTGCCGGATCCGGAGGCTGGGTCCCCTTTCAAGACCCTCCCAGTCCACACGTTCCTTTCCTCACACGAACGAGGGTGTCCCAGTCGCTCCCTCCCTGGACCTCGGGCCATCTTTAGATTTGGGCCTTCTCCCATCGTGCCGGACACCCACTTCCCGCAAACACAGTTCCCCGCACCTAAACCAGCCTGAGATCTTGCGGAACAGATTGAACTTGGGTGGTTTGTATTCATCGTCCTTGATGGACAGAGGCAACATCTTCTCTGCCCGGCGAAGGGCCGGGTCTGCTCCCCTCTCGTAGTGGCTCCGTGGGAGATGGTAGTGATACAGGTGACGCTTCAGATGGGAATCCCCAGCGCCTGTCCCGGGCCGCGGGCCGCGCGCCGCTTCCAGACACAGACTCAGACACACACCCGAGAACCGGGCGACTTCCGGCCCGGGCCGCGCAACGCGTCCTGGGACGGGAAAGGGGGAAGGCGGGGCCGAGGGCGGGACTTGCGCAGTGGGGCGGGGCTTACGACGAGGGCGGAGTAGCGAGTTTTACAGTGGCCAAAGAGAGGTGGCATCCTGAAGGTGGCCTAAAGGGCCGACTTGGAATGAAGTCCCGCCACCTGTACTCAGGAAGAAAATCCTGAGGTGGCCACCCACGGATTGGGCTGGCCGGAAGGTTGAGAGCCCGCTCAGGTCCACTCCGACTACCTATCACTGCTGTTCCCGGATGCGCTGGCATCCTGCGCCTGCCCTTTCGCCATTGCCCGTATCTATTAGCATCAAATCCCGGTTTGTTCGGTAGCAGTGCTTAAGAATCCAGTCAGCAGGAAGCGCAAATGATAGGAAGCGCAAATGATGATGGTTTTGCTGGGTGAACTCTATGGGTACCCAAATCCTAGTAATCCACCCAGCCCCGCGCCCCCAAACAGCGCCTGACCTTTCTGTACGTCACGCAGGAGGCAAATACCTTCCGAGAGAATGTTAAATGTTTATAAAAGAGCTCTTTTTGAAAGGAGTGCCTACGAGACCGTGTTGAAATTGAGATTTGGTTAAGCCATTGACTGATTCCCCGACCATCTCAATCCGTTGTTAACCCCAAACTCGAGTTCGTACACGTCCCCTTTACTTCCAGGTCATCCCAGAGGCCAGAGCCGCGACTCTTGTCCATTTCAGGGAAGCGCAAGGAAAATTGACTCGCTGGTGGGACACGAGGGCTTGCGGAGCGCGGAGAAGCGAGCCTGCGGACCAGTCCTGGGCCCTACGGTCGCCGGAACTCCTCTTCGGTGTCTTTCTGGGAAGCTGTTTGGGTAAGGTCAGGTGGTCCATCACCTAAATGATTAAAAGTTGTTACGTTGGGAGAAATGGGGGGAAAGACTAGCTTTTGGAAATGAGCTAGAAACTACAAAACCGAGCTTCTTGGGAACAGCCTTTTAATCTAACAGGAAGTGGAGCATCACTGAAAGGGAGGGGCGGCCACCCGGTTCTGTCCCCAGCTTTAGGCTCTCTCTTTGTGGGCAGCGTTTCATCCAGGTTATCAATCCAGCGAATGACGCCGGGTGAATGCAAACTGCTGGGTTTGGAGAAAAAGCAAAAAATGAGCAAGCGAGACGCTCCTTGCGTTTTATGATAACCAAGCTTCAAGCAAATAAATTGCCTAGGTCTCACTGCAGTCTTTTCTGCACGAGAGGTAAGGAAATAGCAAAATGCTCTCTGGTTAAAAAATTTTTTTACAATGAGGATATACCTGTTTTGCTCTCTTTCTTGGAACTTTATGAGTTTGTGGGGTAGTGATTCTGTGTTTTTATTTTTGAAAATATAATGTATGTATTCTACAATCTTTTAAAAAATGTTCATGTTAATTAAAACTGCTGTGTAAAAACAGCTCGATTCCAGAAATTAAGTTTTGGACAGAATATTTTGTCTTTGCCTTTCTTGGCCTATATTTCATTATTTTAAATAGAAAAACATAGAAATATTTTCACTTAGTAGCATTTATTTATATTTTTAGGAAGCTTTTATATTAGCCAGAGACTAAATTTTGCTCAACTGCACTGCTGGAGAAAGGTTAAATGGGTACAAATTAGGTTAATATTTAAATATTATAAATATTTCGACTGCAGTTGAGTTTTTCCTCCAAAGCTGCTTTATTTCAATATGATGTAACTGGGGACAGGGGTTGGGGGGGAGGGTGGTTCAGATGTATATATGGAAATAACTAAATTTCAGCAACTCATTTCCAGCATTCTCTTAACTCATCAAGGTCAGCTGCAATTTGACCCTGTGTTTTTGTATTCTGCCTTTGAAAATAAATTCTTCGTTTTGACTGTATTGCTACAGATGAAAAATTGTTCAGTTGGTTTATGGAAAAGTCTGTGACACCATTTTTCAAATAGTTTTGAAATAAATTGGAGAAACTGAAATTTAATTTCAGTTACATTGGTTCTGGAACTCTTAAATTCCTACACTGCTTACCCCCAAAAATGTAAGATAGCTATTCCTGCAAAGAACTTCTTTCAAAAAATGGCAATGCCACTTAACATTCTTTGGTGGCATAATTACCAACTTAAGTTGTAAATATTTCTTAGAAATATAATGGTTTATATAAATTTCCAATTTAGGAATATAAATTGGACACTAAATCAGGAGAAGTTCTATGAGTGGAAAATGATGTCTGGCTTGTTTTGTCATCTTGAAATGATGTTTGTCCCATATATGTTAACCAATATATGTTGTCATATCAAAGTTATAGTTACTTTCTTTCATTCATTCAATGATCATTTAATGTGTCTACTATGTGCTAAGCTCTGTGCTAAGCAGAGAATTAAATTCCTGGAGGAATTTTATGGGAAGAGGAAGCAGGTGTGGAGGACAGGGCAAATCAGTCCAGGATTTTAGAACTATGTGATGCCAAGATGTTCACAAGGGGTGCTTTTGGTATAGAGAGGAGGAATAAGTGTCACCTGATGAGTCTAGATACAGGCTAAGCCACCCCTTTGTCCCTTCAGTAACTGTATCATGAAAGAATATGAGTTTGAAAAATAAAAAATGATTCTTCAGCTCTATTCAGGTGGTCATTATAGATGCAGTATCTTGCAAGTCTAATCAGCTCTGAATTCCTTCATATATTATGAGTTTATAAGATTTATAAAATAGGTAGATATATTCATGAACATTTTTAAACTAACGAATGAATTTCTGCCCTGAACTCTTATATAGTTGTTTAGATCATCGACTAATTAATTGTATTAGGTTAACTGTGTGGACTATATGGGGGGGAAAGCTCTAACTTCTTAGACTTGTAATTGAGGACTGTGAGAAATGATGGCCAAGAGGAGTAAGGGGCAGAAGGTTATCTCCAGCCAAAGTTCTGACTCCCTTTGGGTAATAGTAAGGAATAGGAAGGATGTCATCTGTCATTCCTCAGTAAAGTAATTAATCCTGACCTTTACCTGCAATTCTATTTTAAACCCTGTGTTTTTCTTTTAGTACTTCAAATTGAATGCCATATGAACCTTAAGTGAAAAATGAGTTTTGATGATAGATAAAACTACAGACACTTAAAAGTCTAGAAATTGAATACAAGTGCAGGTTGCTGCGTCTGGAGGCCTTTCTGCATGGCATATATATTCTGGTTTCAAATGAGTAAACATTAGGTCATCAGGATGATATGGATTTACTGTTTCTGGATACTTAAGGGAAAGATGAAAACAAAAATATAGCAATGTTAGTTACAGGATAGCTATAGCTATCCTCAGGAGGATGTCATCTACTTAGTTGCCTACATGTAATTTTTAGAACACAGTATAGAAAGTTTTAAGTTCTAAAAATAACTCAAAGTCTATGGGCCATGGCATTAAAGCATTTTTTAAAAATTCCTCCTGATTGAGAAAAACATCACAGGAAATTCTTTGATTTCCCTTAATAGTGCCAAGAGATCCTGTTCCTATCAATTACTGAAGCCATAGGAAAAATTTTTCAAAAATTAAAACTTTACCATAATGAGGTAAGTACCAGTATTTTCTTTTTACTTTTTAAAAATTGTTGTAAAATACACAAACCTGCCATCTTAACCATTTTTAAGTGTGTAGCTCAGTAGTGTTAAGTGTATTGACTTTGTTGAGCAGTCAATCTCAAGAACTTTTTCATCCTGCAAAACTGAAACTCTACAACCATTAAACAACTCTCCATTTCTCTGTTCCCCAGGTCCCCAGCAGCCACCCTTCTGCTTTTCTGTTTCTTTGAATTTGACTATTCTAGATTTATCATGTAAGTGAAATCACATAGTATTTTTCCTTTTGTACTGGCTTATTTCACTGAGCATGATGTCCTCAAGGTTCATCCATGCTGTAACATGTGTCAGAATTTCCTTCATTTTAAAGGCTGAATAATATTTCATTGTATGTCTATACCACATTTTTTTATCCACTCATCTGTCAATGGACATTGGGTTGCTTCCACCTTTTGGCTCTTGTGAATAATGCTGCTATGATCATAGGTGAAGTACCAATATTTTCAACTGAGAAAAAAATGTTTCCAATAGAGGTACTTTTGTTTCCTTGGAAATAAAGAGTTTTTACTTGAGCCAGGATCTGTTCGAAAATACCATATTGCCTGTTTTAGATCTTATCCATTGAAATAGTATTCCAGACTATAACATAAAGTCAATAAAAAGTTTATTCCTATAAACTAGAACAAAGCTGAAACCAGAGACTACATGGAAAACGCTGAAAATACCAGTTGGGTCACAGGGGAGGTGGGAGTTTGTTCAGACCCTCCACTCTTTCTGTGGCTCAGGAAACATTGTTTAATATTCTCAGGCTCAGCTATCCCATCTACGAAATGGGGTGGATGTGTTTTAATTCCCGTGGCTCTAAAGATTTGAGATGTTAGGTAACACACAGAGGAAAGAGGTCTGACAACTTTTGTTACTACTGGTAAGTTCTGTGAGGGCAGGAATTGGAGGTCTTACTCATTATCAACCCTAGTGTCTTGACAGTGCTGGGCTGGGTAAGCACCTAGGAATGTTTGTTTGTGGACTACCATGGATATTCTGACCTTCCTCTAATAAAGTTAGGAAGCTCACCTGAATTCGGATTGCGTTGATTTTAGTTCTGATATCTAAAGCTCTGTACAAATTACAATTTGTACATATAAAATTTGTTTCTCTTCGAGAAACGATTTTGGAATGCGAGTTTATTGCTGAAGACCAGTATTGTGTAAAAAGTAAGAGGATTCTGTAGAACATTCCAAGGATCTGTCGCCCAGCAGTCTTGCCTCCCCTCCACTTTCCTGTGACTAAACCAGAGAAGTTCAAATGAAAAGTTTCAATATTCTGGAATGGTAAAAATAATGTATTTGTAGATAGACTTGGTTTCTTTTTGACCCATTTCTTGAACTAATTTTGCATGACACTGTACTGAGCTAAAAATGCTTTTCTATTTCTAGGCTTTCTTCTTAGGATGCATTGACTCCTTGGATCCTTATAAGTAGTGGATGTTTCTCTTAGGAATAAGGCCATTCCTTCTCCTGCCCTGATGTATGTCCATAAGTTTGATCATCTTCAAACATCATCATCATAATTATCATCATGATAGCTACAGTTAATTAGCAATTCCAAGAGGAAGATGCAAGACTGGAAGAAACTTTCATCTAGCATAATTGAGACCTGTGCACTTTGAGGGTAGAGAGGGCCTCTGCCTCAGTAACAAATGGCTGGATTGATGGAGGCAGTGTTTTAAGAAGACTTTCCACGTAATATTTATATGCTATTTCCTCTTTAATCAATGATGAGAAAGCAAATCTAGTTAATTGAGAGTAGCTGCCTGAAGAGGTATTGAGAAGCAATTTGATGATTTGTACAGGATGCCTTAGCAGGGGACAAAAATGCCAGGACTGACAAGCAGCCTTTGCTTCTGATAACAGGGCAAGACTGGGGAGGAATGTGGAGACACAGGTACTTGGTGTCTGCTATCTGTGTTTTATGGGCTTCCCAGGTAGCTCATGGTAAAGAATCCTCCTGCAGTGTAGGAGACCCGGTTTCAATTGCTGGGTCAGGAAGACCCCCTGTAGGAGGGGGCAACCCACTCCAGTATTCTTGTCTTGGAAATACCAGTACAGTCCATGGGATCGCAAAGAATCAGACACTGCCTAGCAAATGAACATGCATGTGCGCAAACACACAGACACACACACATGTTTTTTAGAGTTCATTTGAACCTGATATACCTGTAAGGGAATGACTCACTCAGCCTGGCTGCCAGGAGGAGGACTTGCTTTTTAATGTGATCAATACAGAAATTCTTCCTTAGAGCTTGCAGTGAGAAGTGACCTGTGGCAGCAACTTCTATTTTTCAAATGTGATATTATAGTAAATGCAGCTATTTACCAATATGTTTTAGTAATTCTGTTTCAGAACTGTAGACTCAAAAGGGCAGGAAATGTCAATCTTAAGCCTTCTAAATGACAGAACTTAGATTGGCTATCAGTGATCCTATATATGTTGTAGTCAGTTCTACTGTTGATAAAAAAAAGATGAATCACTTTAACCCTAAGAGCCAGTTCATGACACAGTAGATCCAGATTGTAGGCATCTAAATCATCTGTTCAGATCACTGTACATTTGGTTATAAACAGCGAAACCACAAGGTAAATCTGTGATACTATGTGGATCCTTTTATTATTTATTTCTTTAAGTCTATTCATATTCCTGCCTTTCTTATTCCTATATAAATAATATCATTAACACAAAATAACTTATTTTGATTATTTGGACGGGTGAAAAAAGTAATGAGAGTTAAGACTCCCGGATGGGAATTAGGGACTTCTCTGGTGGTCCAGTGATTAAAATTTCGTCTTCCAATACAGGGGACACAGGTTCAGTCCCTGGTCAGGGAGCTAAGATCCCACATGCCTCATGGCCAAACACCCAAAACATAAAACAGAAGCAATATTTTAACAAATTCAATAAAGACTTTAAAAAAATATAGCTTATGTATTAAGAAAGGTGTTTCTTAAAAAGAAGAAGAGGAACCATAAAAAAAAAAAAATAGATGGGTTCCTTAGAAGGAAAACTGAGGGAAAATCATTTAGGAAGGCAAGGATATCATTGGTTGAAAATGAGAAAGCTGAATGGCGTTTATAAAATACACTGAAAAGAATGAATTTCCTGAATAGGGGGAAATACAAAGGCAAAAGCTTTTCTTAGAATACTCTCTAGCACCTGGAAAAGACTCATAAAGAACAGTAACCTTTCATGTACTATCTCTGGCATTCTGGATTTTGCAATGAAATAAATTCTAGTGTGTGCTGCTTAAAACTAATGGAAGAGGCTTACTCTAAGCAATAATGAACTGACTTACGTGGTGTTCTGACTTAGTTTTCTATTTCTGCCAATTGTCCTGAAGTCTCTCCAAGTTTTTTTCAGTTTCTAAACAAAAATTAAATTTTCATTTCTTAACTATCCAAGACTTTATTGTCTCTTTGTTTAAGCCATGTATGCTGCCAAATTAAGGATACAGCTTCTGGTTATTGTTACCAGAATTTACAAGGATGATATTATGTAATAAGTGATGGTTTTCTCCCAAGGCAATTCAGCTTATTCTCAAAGAAATTCCATAGAAATAGGAATGTTCAAAAGCATTTTAATGAAGAATATCTTTGAAAAAATCAGAGTTCTAGGACATCTATAAAGTAGTTTTGGCCACAGAACTTAAAGTAGAAAGGTGATTTGTGTGGCCTGAGCTTTAGACTACATGTCATGCCCTGGTCCCCAGATGGGGGATAACCCAGGTCTTTTATGAAGGAATGGTTTCTTAAGTCTTGACTCGATCTTAATTTGCATTTAATTTGAGTTTTTTTTTTTTTTTAATTTCAGGCATTTCTTATTCATTGTGAAGTTTGTTGTTGTTATTTAGTCATTGTGTCTGACTCTTTGCGACCCCATGGACTGCAGACTACCAGGTTCCTCTGTCCGTGGGATTTCCCAGACAGGAACACAGGAGTGGGTTGCCATTTCCTTCTCCAGGGAATCTTCCCAACCCACATCTCCTGCTTTAGCATTTGGATTCTTTACCACTGAGCCACCAGGGAAACCCCGTTGTGAAGTTTAAGACTGTTTAAATATAGATTCCCTTGCTTTTTTCAACCATAGAGAATTGTGAACCTTGCTCAAAAAACAGCCAGGCACTGTTCTGAATTGCAGAGCCTGACTGAAAGGGCCCTCAATAGAGTCAGAGTGAAAAAGAAGGCTCAGTCAGTAGCTGTAATACCTGGAAACAAAGTCTGATAGCACCGCGTTCCCCGTCCCCAGGATCACTGAGGATGGAGAGTGCTGAGAGCAACGCTCACAGAGGGGGATGCAGAAGGGCAGGGGGTAGGAGTCGGGGGGTGGGGAGAACGGGTTTTGTAGTGGAAAAGAGCATGTACCACGTGTGGAGTCATGGTCAGCCTGCTGGCTCTAGGTACCGTGAGACCAAAGGCCTTTTGGAGTTGGGTGCCACATGTGCCTTGGCCTCAGTTGGAACAATGTGTATCGCCCGCATGCTGTAAGCCTGGCCAGAAACTGCTTGTCAGGTGTACACTGATGTCTTCTAATTCTTTCATGTTCACAAAAGGGAACCCCAGGTTATAAATTAGCCTCTGTGTTCCACTTAGGACTGTTTCTATCTCGTGGCAGTGAAGGGCCCCTTTCTGAGCATCTATATGCTATAATCATCAGCTTTTTTGGCAAGTGCGTATTTTGAAGGATGAGCCAGAGGAGAAAACGATCTGTACAATATGAGGCAAATTTCATAGTGAAATGGCAGAATAGTTACTATTCTTCCACCATCTGTGGCATTAAAATGAAAATGACAGCTTCTCAGTGTATGACGTAACGCCGCTCGTTGCTTTTCTATCTCATGAGTCAGAGGACATAACTAATCTTCATTCATGCCATGCTCTGGCTAAACTAGTCTTTGTTCATGCTATGCTCTGGCTATTTGTTTTCAGCTTTTGTCTGGATAATTGTTGCTTTTTAATCCCAAGGAACTAGCCTGGAGTAAAGAATTCATCATTCAGTAGTGTTCTTCCTGAGGAACTCTGGTAGAAGATGTAGTAAATAACTGAATAGCAGGTCTTTGAAAATTCAGATTGCCTCATTCATTTAAAGACAAACACTAGAGAATTTGTTGCTTCATTGTATTATTTACTTTCCTACTCTGTCTTATGTCCACATTTAAGAAAATTTCTTAAAATTTCAAATAATGGTTTTCTAAAAGCTACCTCACTTTTCAAATATTTAAAAATTCTGATGTAATGACCCAGTCATTCTTCTCCCAGGTACATGCACAAAAGAAATGAAAACATATATTCACAAAAAAACGTGTATATGATTATGTGTAACAGCAGTATTCATAATAGCAAAATGTGGAAGCAACCCAAATGTCCAGCAACTGTTAACACAAGCAAATTGTGGTATATCTGTACAACAGAATGTTATTTGGCAATAAAAAAAAGAAGTATGGATATATACTATGACATGGGTGAACCTTGAAAACATTTATGCTAAGTGAAAAAAGCCAGACACATAGGCCATATATTGTATGATCTCTTTTTAGGAAATGTCCAGAATAGGCAAACTATGGAGATGAAAGTGGATCAGTGTCTGCTGGATGCTGGGGTAGAGAATGAGGGGAAATGGGGTTGAGGGGTGACAGCTAATGAGTAGGTCTTGGGTTTCTTTTCAGAGTGTTAAAAATGTTATAAAATTAGATTTGGTTGCACAATTCTGTGTAGATACTGAAAGCTACTGAACTGTGTACTTTATATGGGTAAAGCTTATGGTATGTGAAATAAATGTTAATAAAGTTGTAAAAAAATCAACATACCAATATTAATATTTATATTATCATACATATCATACCTTAGTGACAGTCTCATAGACAAATTTATGACGCATCCTTACAGAACTTACCACAACACAGTGGAAAGAGTCGCGGACTGTGCCATCAGGGATCTAGGTCCTTTTTGGAATGGAGCAGGGTTTCGGAAAATACAGACAGATATCATTTTAAATTTTGTTTATTATTTTTGGCTGCCCTGAGTCTTCAGTGCTGTGCAGGGGCTTTCTCTAGTTGCAGTGAGTGGGGGCTGCTCTCTAGTTGTGGGGCACGGGCTTCTCGTTGCCGTCGCTGCTCTGGTTGTGGAGCACGTCCGGCATGTGGGATCTTCCCCGACCAGGGATCGAACCTGTGTCACCTGCATTGGTAGGAAGATTCTTAACCACTGGACCACCAGGGAGGTTTACAGATATACTTTTAAGCTCAATCATTTTAATTCTTGATTCTTTCTAAGATGAAGTTTATCTAGGTGTATTCTTTCTCATATTCCCCATTTAAAACTCAAAGCTGTGAACTAGATGATACATTCTTCTCTAGACAATGAACAGAAGAAGGCTATACACTGAAATCGAAATAGCTGTATGAAGTCATCAGTGTCCAATCTGTTCTAAGGCTGTTTCCAGTGCTTCTACAATAAAGTCCCAGACTTCATCTGTTCTCAAAGTGCAGAGATGCCACTTGCACTGCAATCTATATAGTTCTTACTCTTCTATACAGACTACACATTTTACATAACTTTATTGGTCTATATAACTGCATGAAATATTTGCATTGTCTTTCCAAAGATATAAATTATTCATAACTCTCAAAACATTTTTGATAGAAGGAAAATAGGGGATTAGAAGCTATCTGACAGAGGAAATTTCTATGATGGGTATGGAGGAAAACTCCCACTTAAAAGTATATTATTGGTAAAAGTGACAGTCATTCATGAATTCTCTTTGACAGTGTCTATTTATAGTAGGCTATACAGATGAATCTTCATTACTCTTTCTCCACTAAACTGGCAGGTAGTTACCATAATCTGCTTTATAGACTAGAGACACTGCTATATGAATTCTAGAATATGTTATTCCTACTCTGCTGTAGAAAATGAACATTAAGATCTCAATCAAGTTATACTTTAAAGTAGTTGTCAGATGAATCTTAACTCTGAATGCTTATAACCAGCCATTTTTATGCAGAACTGAAAATATGTTTTATGAGACTTGCTTTTGATTCAGCGTTAGAAGGATTATTAAGGTCTTTGAATCAAGACTATTAATTTATAATGGTTTCTGTTTGGTTTATCACATTAACAGTATGTATTGTTTTAGGGAGAGGTTATATACAATGAACACATTTGTACTCTCAAGCCTTAAAGTGGCCATCCTTGACAAATAATCATAGTAAAGCTGAGGTTACCTAAAAAATAATCCATTTTATTCATTTCTTAGAGTGAGGCCATGATGAAAGGGGAAACACAAAATTGCTTTTCTTAACAGAACAGGATGCAGACAAAGTCCAGGAGAGAATATCCTTGAAAGCTGTCTGAAAAGATTACTACAAGGGTACATTGCTTTTCAAATCTGGACTTTAGAAAAGTGAGAGTCACTGAGTGACATTGACCATTCCCTTGTCCTTATGAAGAAGTTCTTCCTTTGCTTGCACAGCGCTCAATGCACTAGCACAGTATGGAGTATGTTCTCCTTCCATCTTTAGAATTCTCCAGTCCCTGCTCTTGTGAACTTTAAAAGATGTTAAAGGCATGGTCTATATGACCTCTCTACATCCTTGTTGACCTATATAGAGAAAAACTATTTCTATGGTGACACCGCACACCTCACAACATGAAACAAGATCAGGGGAACTGTTGCCAAGTTTCCTCAGTGAAAAACAGAAGATTAGTTGCCCATCATTTGGATAGTGAAGTGAGATTTCATTTGGAATCCAATGCCTCCAGAATGACGGCCTGGCTACAAGTACCCAACTGAAACCACAAGGTGTCCTTCTGATGTATTCTCTTCATTACCACTATCTTAAATTAACTTTGAGTTTATTTACTTTATCTATCTCTCCCTACTATTTCCTCTGCTACGAACAGCAGAGACATCGTCTCTCTTATTCATTGCTATACGCACAGAACCTAAAATAGTGCTCAGTAATTATTTAATTTATTGAGTAAATAAGCAAATACTATGGCATGCAAAGCACAGAGTACAGGATCTAATAAGTAATAAACCATTATAATTGTTTGCTACTGCTGCTTCTACCACTGTTATCTGATTCATATATTAGGATTCTGCATATGATTTCATTTGGAAACAAGTTTGCTGCCAAAAGTTAAGTTTCAACTTAGTATAGGGAAGTGTTTATATATCTCTATGTGTGTGTGTGTGTGTGTGTGTGTGTATATTAGAATAAGTTGTACACCTTAAATATATATAATTTTGTGTATCAATGATATCTCAATGAAGCCATTTAAATAATTAGTATACTACTAAGAGAAATATATACTAATTATTTAAATAGTTACTAAGAGAAATATAGGGCTTCCCAGGTGGCTCAGTGGTAAAGAATCTGCCTGCCAATGTAGATGTGGGTTCGATCCCTGTGTTGGGAAGATCTCCTGGAGAAGAAAATGGCAATCCATTGCAGTATTCTTGCCTGGGAAATCCCAGGGACAGAGGAGCCTGGTGGGCTATAGTCCATGGGGTCACAAAAGAGTCGGATACGACTGAGTGACTAAACAACAACAACAACAAAAGAGAAATATAATCCAATTTAAAAATAATAATCTCAGTTCCAAATTTTTAGTAGCGAAATGAGGGCAAATTTTAAAATATGCTGCTTAATTCTTCCTGTGTATAGATGTTCTTTGGTCTGCAACTGCAAAGCAGTCAGGGAAGGGAAGGTTTGTTCACTGTGCTTTTTTTGTCTTCAGTCAGTTCAGTCGCTCAGTTGTGCCCGACTCTGCTACCCCATGAATCGCAGCACGCCAGGCCTCTCTGTCCATCACCAACTCCCGGAGTTTACTCAAACTCAAGTTCATCGAGTCGGTGATGCCATTCACCATCTCATCCTCTGTCGTCCCCTTCTCCTGCTGCCCCGAGTCCCTCCCAGCATAGGGTCTTTTCCAGTGAGTCAGCTCTTTGCATCAGGTGGCCAAAGTATTGGAGTTTCAGCTTCAGCATCAGTCCTTCCAATGAACACCCAGGACTGATGTCTTAGGCCAAATCAAAAAGGCAGGAGGAACTGAATTTGAATAACTAAAAGGTGATTAACCTTTCTCTCCTTAAAAAAGCAGAGGCAAAACCATGGTAACTAGTAAGAATGCTAAGATTCTGCATTTTTACTTCCATTTCTACCCCAGGTGTTGCCACATCTGCAAGCTCCCAGGAAGAGTGATGGGAATTCGCCTGCTTCGTCTGTCTTTGGTGGTCATCCTTGTGTTACTGCTGGTAGCTGGGGCTTTAACCACTTTACTCCCTAATATCAAAGAAGACAAGATGCTCACTTTGCGTAGGGAAATAAAATCTCAGGGCAAGCCCACCCAGGATTCCTTTACTCTCATAATGCAGACGTACAACAGAACAGATCTCTTATTGAGACTTTTAAATCATTATCAGGCAGTGCCATATCTGCACAAAGTGATTGTGGTATGGAACAATGTTGGGGAGAAGGGACCAGAGGAGTTATGGAACTCCCTAGGGCCTCACCCTGTCCCCGTGAACTTCAAAGCACAGACCACAAACAGGATGAGAAATCGGCTCCAGGTCTTTCCTGAACTGGAAACCAAAGGTGAGTTGCAGTTGGGTTTTTAGTCTGACAGGGCTGCAGTTAACCAGAACTGGGGACTCGTATGTGGCTTTGGGGCCTCCCACTTACCTTAATTGTCTGGAGAAAATAGGGAAGTTTAATCATGAGAAAGCATTTTGAAAAACTTAAGAGGCAGTTTCCCAGATATCAAAAGCAGTCTCCTGGGGAAGAAATCACATATATCTTGCAACAGTGATAAAGAGGTTAATTAATATTGTAAAAGAAGACATGCTATGATTACATCTTATTGCATCACAGAAGTTAGTAAAATGCTATTTAACTTATGCTTCATGTGTTTTGCCACCTTCTTTTCCTCCCACTCATAGCAGTTACAATGAGCTTGTATATGCTTAAAAGAACCTTGGTTTATTTATTAATAGGTTCATTAGTTTCTAGGATAATGGATGATAACTACATGATAATCTCCCCCTTTGGAAATTATAAAATCAATTATAGTTCAAGTAAAAACTTTTTCTGCTAGATAAATCTTTAAGAATCCATTTTTTATTTACTGATTTCATTCAGAAAATACAACATCTGAATGATCTATAAAGATACCACTGTGTCTTACAACTTCTGTCTTTACTTCCAAACTGTTTGATTTAAATTTTTTTTCTTTCATTTCAGCGGTGTTAATGGTAGATGATGACTTGCTAATTAGCGCCCAGGACCTTGTTTTCGCTTTTTCTGTGTGGCAGGTAATGTTGCTACATGCTTTATGAAATCATCATTATTAAGTCTGATCTAGTGTTTAACCAGAGCAAGATGGTTTAATGTGGGGGTTACCCAGATTAGTGTAGACAATATTTATCTAAAAAGGAGATTACTTTGTCATAAAGTGATCAGATTTCCTGAGCTCAGTTAAGCTAACTGACAGTTATGGTACCTTTTATCTATACTTGATTTATATTTGGTATATTGGGGAGAAGAGCTAGAATTGCCTTCCAAAGCACAACGAGGAAATGCTCTGGTATAGAACAAAGACTAAAATCCCGAGACACTTTTCCACAAGGCCACAGACCTGTATCTCAAATGAGAAGTGTACTTCTGTATTAATGCTGCACAGAGCTTCCTTTGAAAGAAATAATTGATTACATCCACAAAATTTAATTCTGAGACCATTGTTTAAAAATTAATATAATAATTCTACATGCACCATTGTGGTCGCGGATTTTTCCCCCCTTAAATCCCAGCTGGTATAAAAGGCATTAATTGCCTGGTATTCTATAAAAACACCTTTTTCCTATTGAATATTTATTCATAGTAGTCAGCTTTTACATGTTTCACTACAAGAACCTGAAAGCAGAATTGCATACAAATACTCTGAAGCCTGTACAGTAATTAAACACTGTGCTACCCAATAAATGGTCTAATTTGCACTGTAGTAACTCTCCTTGATTAGCAACTTGAGATGTGACAACACTAGGTATTAATGGTAAGCAGCCACAGTACTCTACAGATACCAGCATTTTCAAAACTTCAGTTTTCAGCTTCATGCCTAGCGTACTGATCAACACATTCTTTTCCATATCAGCAATTTTTCCAGCCCCATAAATAAAAGCTTCCCAGGCCAAAATTTATAATGTAATACTCCAGCTGTGAGATTTCTATTTCAGGTGAAAAAATCAATTTTCTGAAAATGTCAGGTTTGGGGAAATATGAGAACTACGGTTAATTAGAACAATCCAAGTAAACCATGATTAAAGATGGATAAATATGATTTTAAGTTTCATCCACAAAACTAGCAAGAACAGTTTCAATCCATTGCCCAAGATAATCTGACTCCTAGAGTTCAGTCCCATTGGTGCCCTATGGAGTGTGGAGATTTGGGGCACAGAGACAAGCAGGATTAGAATGGACACACGTCTGTGCCTTTGCACTTAACCACGACCTCCATTTGCAATGCTTTTCCTTTTCCTGCTCTAGCCATCTGTGAAATCTCCGTCATCCTCCTAGATTATGTAAGTGGCGCCTCGTCTCTGAGGCCTCCCAGCGTTTATCCTCCCAAGCCCCTGATGTTCCCATTTACCTCCCAATAACACACCTGTCACTCTGTCCTCAGAGCTGTCCTGAGAATTACTCAGCTGCATTTACAGCTTTCTCAACAGTGTGGTAATTCCGAGCTCATGTATTTGTATCATACTCTCCCTAGATTGTGCTTTCTTTGACATGGGATTAAATCCAGATGGATTTGTGTGTGTGTGTGTCCCTAGTTTAGCATCTGTTAGTAAATGAGTGAAACTCAAGGTATTTATGAGATTGAACTAAACCTTTTTCAGTTCATATTTCTTTTCCATGACTCACTGCTTTTCTTTGCTGATTTTTGTTTTATTTTTAGTCATTCTCATCCTACTATTATTGCTTTAATACCATCCTTTCTTCATAGATCCTGACACATCTCTTTATATATATATATATATGACTTCCCCCGTGGCTAAGCGATAAAGAATTCACCTGCAGTATAGAAGACGCAGGAGACACCATTTTGGTCCCTGGGTCAGGAAGATCCCCTGGAGGAGGAAATAGCAACCCATTCCAGTATTTTTGCTGGGAAAATCCCATGGGCAAAAGAGCCAGCGGGCTATGGTCCATAGGGTTGGAAAGAATCAGACACAACTGAAGCGACTATATACATACATATATACATATATATATATATATGTATATATGTATAGGTGTGTGTGTATATATATACACACACATCCGTACATATTGACCTTTGAACAACACAAGCTTGAAGCATACAGGTCCACTTATACTCAGATATTTTCAATAAATACCTATCATATTACTACATGATGTGTGGTTGGTTGAATCTGTAGATGCAGAACCATGGATATTGAAGGCTGACTATAAAGTTATACATGAATTTTCCATTATACTGTCAGTTGGCACCCTTAACTCCTGCATTGTTTAACAGTCAACTGTATATACATGTGTGTGTGTATTTTTTTTTAAAAGAAAAGGGATAAAAATAAAACGTTTAAAATCAACAGTGACTTTCAAAAACATTGAAATCAACATGGAAAAGCAGTAAAATTATACATGTACATCCATAATTTTATTTACTCCTAAGAGATTAAAACAGTTTTTCAAAATAATCACATATCTTCTTAATCTCCTATAATAAGCATTGTTCATATAGTCAACTTCTTTTACAGTAAACTCTGAAAACCAGACTCTTTGGTGACTAGAATTTATTAATATCAGATAATGTGTGAGCTGGGAGACTATTTGAGAGGTCAGAAATTTTTTAAAGAGATTTGGGCTGTGATGGAATTTGAACTTTAAACTTACCAGGACATAGATTTATGAAGTTGCCTGGATTAAAGGAAATTGAGATGTAGAAGCCAGAAATAAAATAACACTGACAAATCAGTTTAATTATTTCTGTAATAAATCATTGCCTTTTTCACCATCTTAGCTCTAAAGAAATGCCACACTGAATTATTATTTTTTTTATATTTTCAGCAATTTCCTGATCAAATTGTAGGATTTGTTCCCAGAAAGCATGTGTCTACCTCCTCTGGTATCTACAGCTATGGAGGTTTTGAACTGCAGACACCAGCGTTTGGAAATGGTGATCGTTACTCCCTGGTCCTGATTGGAGCCTCGTTCTTCCACAGCAAATACCTGGAACTCTTTCAGAGGCAGCCTGCAGCCGTCCATGCTTTGTTAGATGAGACACAGAACTGTGATGACATTGCCATGAATTTTATCATCGCCAAGCACACTGGGAAGACTTCAGGGGTATTTGTGAAACCTGTAAACATAGCCAATTTAGAAAAAGAAACTACCGGTGGCTATTCTGGAATGTGGCATCGAGCTGAGCACTTTCTGCAGAGGTCTTATTGTATAAACAAGCTTGTTAACATCTACGACAGCATGCCCTTAAAATACTCCAACATTATGATTTCTCAGTTTGGTTTTCCATATGCCAATCACAAAAGTAAAATGTGAAAGTGAAGCAGACACAAAAACAAACCTCAGAACTGCTTGTTATTTGAGTATCTTCCTCGTGCTCTGGTTGGTCTTTTTATTTATTTCTTTTTAAGCAACATCAGGAACTTTTTTTCTACTCCAGAAGTCTCTACAAAGGGGAAGAATGCATGGGGCTTCTAGGATGTACAATTTACATGTGCTTCAAAACCCAATAAGCTGATATTATCCAGATAGGTCTTGTGATAAGTCTTCATTCATGGATATAATTCCTTGGTCAAAGAATTTTATTGTTTACATGCTCAGACTGTTCGACAGTTTTTTTTAAATTGAAGTATAGTTAATTTACAGTGCCATGATAATGCTCTACAATTTTGTTTTTTGACTCCTGGCACTTTTCTTAAGGACCTTTAGCAAGCCGTTTCCAGGATCAAAATCTCCAGAGAAGTATTTCTCAGCTTTTTCATTCAAGGATGATTATTTTCATCTGAAGCCTGAAATGCCTCTTTCTCAAAAGACTGTGGTGTAGGGTAAAGCCATGTGAGGAGAGAATAGTCTCAATCCCATATAAAAACAAGTGGAGATTTTGTGACTATCAGGGTTTCTCTTCTGGTTCTTCCAACCAGCCCTTTCTAGGACTAGCTTGTCCCAGCATGGTTTTGATGCAACTATCAGCGCTTTCTGTGGTTAAGTCTGTTGTGACTGGTTGGATTAATTTTAATAGCTGAATGATGTCTAGTTGTTTGCTTGACTTTTGTGAGCATTTACTGCATGGATCACAAAAAAGTGCAGCCTGTATTTCTTATATGCAACTTCTATGCAGCAAGGAGTTAATGTGTTACTAGATTCAGGTCCTGCATTTTGGCACTGAATCTGACTTTGAGATTGTACATTAATTTTTAGATTTTATATAAAAGATGTATTGTTTAAGAAACATGCTTAAAGTAACTCTTCTGACAGAGTGATTCAGTAAGACCAGGCAGAAATTAAAACCCTTACTATCTGATGATCTTTATTGTTATAAAAGCATCAGTTATCTCATGGATACTAAAATGTTGTGTGTGTTACACACAAAGTCAGTCTCTTGGATTCTGAATTCCCCCTCCGAGCCCCTGCTGCCAAAAGATTCAGAGATCATGATGAAATTTGAATTACATAGATGTAGAAAAAATAAAAGACCTGAGTCATAGCAGAGAAATTCCACAGGGAGCCTGCATCAGTTCATTGTTAAGTTGCCCACTCTCTGTTACATGAATTAGTATCTGTTCCACACTGTCTGTGTTTGGTCCTTAATTCACTACTGGTGGAAAGGAATACTTAATTAAGCCTCTTTCTGCCACATTGTCCTCTTCCTATTCCCCCTCCCTCTCCCATATTCCATAATGGTCTCAAAATGGCACAGCTATGAAAATAATCGTGGTTAGCGTTCCAACAATGAGATCTCTTGTACAGTTAGCTCCGTGTATATTGTTCCTTTACATGGGCATGTGTATGTATGTTACTGCCATCTGAGAAAACCAGTAGAACTTGAAGCCTCACTAAAACTCTGTAGTGTTAATTATCTGCTTTGTCAAACCTTGATAGTGATTTTTTTTTTTTGCCTCTTGAGATTGACAGATAAATAAAATAAACTTTTACCATCCAGATGTTTTTGTTAATTAAGCAGACTTATGCTTTTTTTTTTTTGTCTGTATTCACGCAAATTTCCAAATATTCTCATATTGCTTAGAGTAAGGTAGGGATATCTGCTACATTCCCCATGAGAAAATTTTCCAGTGGGAAAATATTCTCAGATTTTTTCATCTTCTATTCTTAAACATCTATTCTTCAGCATCACTTAATTTGCTCATATATTTTTCAGACGTTGTAGAGCATATATGAAAACAAAGTGAAGTTCAATCTGTATTACAAAGACTCTTGCATTGATTGGGGCAAAACTTCTACACAGGTGGCACTGTGGCACTCCTGCCGATGCAGGAGACATAAGAGACACAGATTCTATTCCTGTGTCGAGAAGATCCCCTGGAGAAGGAAATGGCAACCCACTCCAGTATTCTTGCCTGGAGACTCCCATGGACAGAGGAGCCTAGCAGGCTATAGTCCATAGGATCACAAAGAGTCGGACATGACTGAAGCGACTTAGTACGTATGTACAATTTTCCCTTCATGCCTCTTATTCTTACTCCAGATGATCTGGAGCAAAGATGATGCTCAGGCTTAAAACTACATAAGAAAAGCAACATAGTTTAGAGGTTAAGTATGCCAGTGGAGTACTTGGGCTCAAATCCTTCCTGTATCTCATACTTACTTAACCTCTTGGAGCTTCAGTTTCCTCATCTGCAAAAGTGAGAATAATATCTACATAGGGGTTTGTTTTAAGGAATAAAGGAGATAGCTTGTATAAATATAAGCACTGAGACTTGCCCATTTAAAAATAAAGGAAAGCTGTTGGGATGTGTATGGACAATGAGTGTATGCTTAGTCATGTCTGACTTTTGGGACCTGATGGACTGTAGCCTGCCAGGCTTCTCTGTCCATGGGATTATCCTGGCATAAGTACCAGAGCAGGTTGCTATTTTCTCCTCCAGGGAATCTTTCTGACCCAGGGATTGAACCTGTATCTCCTGCATTGCAGGTGGATTCTTTACCACTGAGCCACCAGGGAAGCCCATCATTGACAATAAGGGCCTTTAATTCTGTGTTACCAGAAAGTCCCCTGAATCCACCAGGTGAGATATTCAGGAAATTGTTTCTACATAACAGTGTTCTACATAACCACGGCAGTTTTCATCTCATTTTCTTTGTTTCAAATGCCCTTCTTCTTATTAAGATAGTACATACTCATTCTAGCAATTTTGGCATATTCAGAATGATATAAAGAAGAAATTAAAAGCCTACCATGTTAACAATCACTAACATTTTTGTGTCTATTGTGACTTTTCTAGGCATATGTTTTAATAGCATGATTTGTTTGATATTTCATTGGATGGATAAACCATAGTTTATATAATCAATCATATTGCTATTCTGTTAGATAATATCTTATTATTCTAACAACATTTGGGCAAGCATCCTTGCCTTGAACAAATACCTTTGAGCATACCTCTAATGATTTCTTTAAAATCAAGTCTAAAAAGTCCAATGCCTGGATCCATTTAGTAGTTGTATTTTAGGGTTTTTAATACATATATATGCCCCCAGAAGCATTCCCATAGCTACAGTATTTCTGCATTCGAGAGCACCTGTTTATCATCAGACTTCCCAACATTGCATATTATTTAAAATATTCTTAATTTCATTTTCCATGCACAAAATACTCAAATGTTGAAGAATTTGGAAAGACTTGGGCTATGTTAAGAACTCCATGTTGAGAAGGCTGAAAAACAGGCAGTCAACTGTCGGATGAAAGATTCCAGGACAGTATAAACTTTGGGAATCTTCTGAAGTGCTCCCAAAAATTCTTTGCTCCCAGGATGGAGTATAGGCAATGAATTGCTGGCTCTTTGCTGGTCCCAGGAATCAAAAACTTGGAAGCAGCAACAACAACAAAAACACATTGGTTCCTCTTAAAAATGCCAAGGGCTTTGACCACAAAGTCTGGAGTGGATAAGTGAGTATGTGTATGCATGTATGTGTTGTGTGCACATGCACACAGGCCCACACACACACCTACATGCATACCTGTGGTGGCAGTGGGCAGGGTAGGAGGTAGAAGGAGTGGCAAGAAGGGGGGATGAAGTAGAGGACAATGCTGTCGTGGATGAGGAAGAGAGAGGTGCCAAATCCCATTGGTCCCCAGGAGGACGTGGATGGTGAGATTTGATCATCCTCTTCCCCATGCTATTTCTTAAGCCAGTTTTTGTTATTCTGCTAGGGTTCTCCCAGCTTTCTCCCCTTCCTCCTCTTCTTTCATGAAGGTTCTGTCAATATAAAACCCAATTTTTTTTTTTTTTTTAGTTTCTTACTTTTATTATTCTTTCGTGCTTTCTCTCTGGGAGAAAAAAATAATAAACCTCCACCTCTGCACATTTCAAGCCTGTACCTTCTTTTTTAAAATTTTTATTGGAGTATAGTTGCTTAACAGTGTTGTATTAACTTCTATTGTACAACAAAGTGAATCAGCTATACATGTATGTATAGCCTCGCTTTTTTTGGGTTTCCTTCCCATTTAGGTCTCCACAGAGTATCAAATAGAGTTCCCTGTACTTTACAGTAGGTTCTCATTAACCGTTCACTTTGTACACAGTAGGGTATAGACGTCAATCCCAATCTCCCAATTCATCCCACCCATCTTCTTTCCTCTTGGTATCCAAACATTAGTTCTCTTTGCCCATGTCTCTGTTTCTGCTTTGCAAATAGGTTCATCTCTACCATTTTTCTAGATTCCACATATATGCATTTATGTAAGATATGTGTTTTTCTCTTTATGACTTCACTCTGCAATATTTAAAAAATATACCTATTGTGGCTGAAACACAAAGAACATTTGATTCATTGGAAGTGTGCACTGAGTCCTGGATCCACTAAATTTCCTCATCTGCTGAATGAGGCTAAAAACATCTGCCTTAGAATCTCACCAATGGCTTTCAGTTTCAAAGACCACACTGTGTAGGAAGAACTTTAAAGTATCAAGAAAATGAAAGAATTTTTAAACATCACAGATAGAGAGCAGCTCAACTGAGAATGAAATAAACTTGTTTGGAAATTTACTAGCAGTGTCAAAATTATACCTTAGAGCATAAAAAAGCAAAAATAAATATGCAAACATCAAAAACAATTTAAGGAACCCATTTTATTAGCTCTGGTTCAGAATAAAGTATTTAAATGAAGTATTTAAACTAGAGATGACATGAGGCTCTTTCTTATTTCACATGTGAACATTTCTTTTACTTGGAAATAAAAAGGGTCATATTTTTGACCAGAATGCTTTTAAGTAGTTTAAAAAGATAAATCTGAAGGAAACAGCTTTAATTTACAGCAGTGGTTCTTCACTTGGGCTCATTTCCCTTCTGGGGGTCATTAGCAGTGTCTGAAGACACATTTGGTTGTTACAAATGGGAGCAGCCTAGTGGGATGTAAGAAGGTGCTGCAGCCCTCCCCCCACAAGAATCAGCCATCCCCAAATGTCAGTAGTGTTGAGGGAAAAATGTGCATGGCCTCATACTATAGAATATTTGATTGGTGATTTTTATACATGACACTTTTATGACAATGAAAGTTGCATTGCTAAAATTTTATATAACAGTGCCTATTAGAACAAACTTAAGGGGGGAAGTTTACATTAAGAGTTTCAGAAAAACATCAAGTTCTGCTTTATTGACTATGCCAAAGCCTTTGACTGTGTGGATCACAACAAACTAGAAAATTCTCAAAGAGACGGGAATACCGAACCACCTGACCTGCCTCCTGAGAAATCTGTATGCAGGTCAGGAAACAACGATTAGAACTGGACATGGAACAACAGACTGGTTCCAAATAGGAAAAGGAGTACATCAAGGCTGTATATTGTCACCCTGCTTATTTAACTTATATTGCAGAGTACATCATGAGAAATACTGGACTGGATGAAGCACCAGCTAGAATCAAGATTGCTGGGAGAAATATCAATAACCTCAGATATGCAGATAACACCACCCTTATGGCAGAAACCAAAGAAGAACTAAAGAGCCTCTTGAAATTGAAAGAGGAAAGTGAAAAAGTTGGCTTAAAACTCAATATTCAGAAAACTAAGATTATGGCATCTGGGCCCATCACTTCATGGAAAATAGATGGGGAAGCAATGGAAACAGTGACAGACTTTATTTTGGGGGCTCCAAAATCACTGCAGATGGTGACTGCAGCCATGAAACTAAAAGACGCTTGCCCCTTGGAAGAAAAGTTATGATCAACCCAGACAGCATATTAAAAAGCAGAGACATTACTTTGACAGCAAAGGTCCCCATAGTCAAAGCTATGTGTTTCCAGTAGTCATGTATGGATGTGAGAGTTGGACTATAAAGAAAGCTGAGTGCCAAAGAATTGATGCTTTTGAACTGTGGTGTTGGAGAAGACTCTTGAGAGTCCCTTGGACTGCAAGGAGATCCAACCAGTCCATCCTAGAGGAGATCAGTCCTGCGTGTTCATTGGATGTTGAAGCTGAAACTCCAGTACTTTGGCCAGCTGATTCGAAGAGCTGACTCATTTGAAAAGACCCTGATGCTGGGAAAGATTGAAGGCGGGAGGAGAAGGGGATGACAGAGGATGAGATGGTTGGATGGCATCACTGCCTCAAAGGACATGAGTTTGGGCAAGCTCTGGGAGTTGGTGATGGACAGGGAGACCTGGCGTGCTGCAGTTCATTGGGTCGCAAAGAGTTGGACATGACTGAGCGACTGCACTGAACAGAATTGAAGACATCTGCTGCATAGTTGTGTGACCCCAAATCTGATCAAAGAGCCAGAAGTTTCCATGATTAAGGTTTATTTTTCTTTTTTTTTTTTTGATCCACTTGCCTTTTTCTTTTTTCACATCTGAAGAATTAGACAGTGGAGCTTCAGTTTCTAGGAAGAAGTTATGAATAAATATATATTTGTGAAGAACTACAAAACAATATTACATAATACAGTATGTATTTTCATAATACATGTCTAGTTAGAGAAAATAAACT